CAAACTTGGCCCAGTGTATAATGGCGTCGGTTAGAGCCACTGACTAGACCGAAAGGGTTGAGAGTTCAATCGTAGGCTACAGCAGAGGTGAACAAAAAAAAATGGAAATTTCAGTTAAAGAGAAATAACCGAGACATCTGGAAGAGGCATGGCACATGGAACTAGAACAATCTACCCTGGTCGACGAAATAAAGTGTCCGCTTCACCAATTCCAATCACCTAAAGAAGGCCGGAGCGTACAACGTAAATTCTATTTAGATTTCTATATTCTATGTTTTTATATCTATATACATAAAACTACTCTATTAACAAATGAATATGTAATATCTGCCTATATCTCTGAGATGAGGTATTACTTACATTATTTACATTATTCTGTTATCATCTTCATTGCCATAGGCCGTTGTACGCTCCTGTCTTCTCGGGTGATTGGATCTCTGAGATGAGGTATTGTGATTTCTCACATTATTTACATTATTCAGACTGTTATCCACATCTTCATTGTCATATTCGCAACGTTTCGACCGTTGTGCGCTCCGGCCTTCTTCAGGTGATTAGAATTTCGAACCGAACCCCTTACTTCTAGTTCTACGTGTCATGCCTCTTCCGGATGTCTCAGTTATTTCCCTTTAACTCAAATCTCCAAGTTTTTTGATTCACCACTACTGTAGCCTGGTATTGAACTCACACCGCTTTGGCTCTAGTCACTGGATCTAACCAACGTCTTTATCCACTGGGACATGTGTCCTTGAGCACCTGGAACTAGAACAATCTACCCCGGTGGACGCGAATAAAGGGTTCAAATCGAAATTCCAAACACCTGAAGAAGGCCGGAGCATACAACGGTCGAAACGTTGTGAAAATGATAATGAAGATGAGGATAACAGTCTGAATCATGTAAATAATCTAAGTAATCATAATACCTCATCACAGAGATCCAATCACCTGAAGAAGGCCGGAGCGTACAACGGTCGAAACGTTGTGAATATGGCAATGAAGATGAGGATAACAGTTCAAATAATGTAAATTATGCAAGTAATCATAATATCTCATCTCAGGAATACAGAGGCCGAAACGTTGTGAATATAGCAATGAAGGTGAGGATAACAGTCCGAATAATGTACATAATGTATGTGATTCCTGTTCCAGAAAATCTTCACTGTAGGAAGTTATTGGGGGGGCAACGAACAAGAAAACGGAAGAATGGAATAGAACCAGAAATGCTGGGAAAAAACATCTAAAAACTGTCACTTGTGCCATCTGCTTAAGCCGATTTGGCAATCTCGGATCCAAGTTTAAAAGGGCGCTTCTTTCGGGATTCGTGGGAAGGATAATGAACCATTTGACAATAATGATTTGAAGTTTGATATACGAGGACGGAATGGACCATGCGATATGGGCTAGGGAGGGGGCCACGTGAAGGATCGTGCAGTTGGTGGAGATGCAGCTAGGTCACTTTTCGGGCTTCGATTTGGGCCCTGGAGTGGATGAAAAAATTGGGAAAAGACGACAGGAGAGAATCCAAGGCGAAATGAGGTTGATACCGACATCGTAATGCTGCATGCTTCGTACCTGTTAATGAAAAGAAAGCATTTTGTGTTCAAGTAGCTGTTTACACAATTCCCCCCTTCTGCCACCACCACTTATTCGTATATTAAAGAAAGATTTTAATTCTGAACCTAAAGATATTACAAAACGAAGCATGAATGTGAACAATATCTAGGAAACAATATGACGTACACTTCAGTTGAAAAGTCTGAGGATACTCCTGGTAATTTCTTTTTTAAATTGGCCCAGAAAGTTGTTGTTTTGTACTTTAAATAAGAAGAAATTATTGTAGAAGGTTAAAAAATTAAATAAATTTTATTATTTCAAAAATTAAAACAAAAGCATTTTGTGATTATTTTTTTAAGCAGATAATGGAGGTTTAATTTGAGTGTGCCTTCAGATTTTACTGTGTCATTTTCTATTCTCTGTAAAAACATTTCCCAGATATTTAAACTTCTGTACTTGTTTGATTTTGAAATATCTAATTAGGAGTTCGTCTCCCTTTTCTTTGCCAAGTTAACATAAGTTAAAGTAAGTAAAATCTCAGCTACCCTTCAAGGTTTGGTTAAAAATGGAGCAATCCACTGGAGGTCAAAAAATAGTTTTGATTACTCTCCACAACCTCTATCTTTGCGTTGCATATTTTCATTTGAAAGATAGTAAACTCGAACAAAACTATTCATCTGTGAGGAGATTACAATGACAATTGATGTTATGTAACAATTCAGCACTCTTTTCTTTGTTCCTAATAAAAATTTCCTGAATAATGAACAATAGAACAATAGTAGAGAAAAGTTATATAATGCCTGGCCACTGGTTAAACGGTGGATAAACATTTGTAACTATTTTTATATCTATCATGAAACATTGCATACCAATTATTTGCCAATTTTGACTGAGGAGCTCAGGAAGAATGGTTAAAATTCCTCAAGAATTCGGGGATCAAAGGGTTAATACTTTGACTAGATTTTTGAAGGCAATTTTCACTAATCCAGTTTGGCTTCAGATTTTGGTGTAAAATTTTCTATTCTCTGTAAAAACATTTCTCAGATATTTAACCTTCTGTAGTTTTTAGATTCTGACATCTTCAATTTGTAGGTTTGTCTGGCGCTCTAGGTTTAACTCTCTCTCTCTCTCTCTCTCTCTATATATATATATATATATATATATATATATATATATATATTATATATTTATTTCTTCATCTAATGTTATATATCGATTTAACTGAAAAAGCTTTTTCACTTTCAGATGTCAATGATTTCCCAGACCATATAAACATGTAGTCGATATATCTGCATCTAGGATGTGCACAGATGGAATAATCTGGATAAAAGACAGATATATAAATACCTACCAATGAAGTGAGAGAAAATAATGTTTTAAATCCTTGAGTGAATGTAGAATTCACATTTGGAGGAATCCCCCGAATCTACGCACAACGACATTAAGTAACCATTTCCTGAGCGAAATAAAGAATAATTTGACGTGACAGATGTACTCACGTCTTCTCATTGGTCAATAACCATTACATATTCTACTCTTTATTCATTGTTTCATTTAATTTTAGGTACAGGTATGAGGTCTTCATCCTTCAAGTGTTGCCCTAAACTGCTCTAGAAAGTACGTGACCCCACTTCCTATGCTCTCGCATTACAAGAACTAATTCGGATCGGGAATGGGTGACTGCTATCATATCTTGGCTGGAACTGCCTAGTCCTCACTTTAATGTTTTTATAGAATTCAAAATCATCTAGGCGGCCTTGTAGGCGATTAACTACATTCCACCCTGATACCCCTTCTTACACAGACAAAACATCGCAAATACCTGGCTACCCTATTGCTCTATCTGTGGCAAATGTTGTGATTAGTGGTGACCAACACAATGAAGACCCATCATGCAAGTTACATTGGAACAAATAAGCCCCATTAACTTTGTTTCGCCTTAAAAGGAAGTTCCACTGGGTCAGCTTCTTCTGCAAAAGTGATATTTTGTGGAATAGACTCCCGAGAGGATACTTTCCAGATTACTACATTCTTAAACTGTACATGTATAGGTTTGACTGTAATCGTTCCTACATAACTTCAGAAACTGAATTTCTTACATCCTCCTCTTAGCGCTCATAGTGCAATTTTATTTAGTAGCTATCTACCTCGAGTGTCTCTCGGGCTTTGTATTTAGTAATGATTAGCAAAACGAATATATATTTAAATGAAGGATTGTCATTATTCTCCGAATCTTTCAAACTAATATCCTCATCTTTATTTTATTTTATTTAGTTACGTTTTTGTTACAGGGGCAGGGGTGATGCTATCTCCATCCAAAAAATGTTGCCTAAAATGTTAAAGTGAAGGAGGGTCGTACCTCTATGAATTATTTGTATTACTATCTTCTTCTTTGTTTTTTATCCCAAATTTTCAGAAAGAAGAACATACTGAGATAGATAGATAGATAGATAGATAGATAGATAGATAGATAGTTAGATAGATAGATAGATAGATATGAAGTGACCAAGAGAGACAGATAAACAAACAATCAAGAATAATCCAATATATATATATATATATATATATATATATATATATATATATATATTTTAGATAGATAGATAGATAGATAGATAGATAGATAATGAACAGGCTGAGATAGATAGATAGATAGATAGAGATAGATAGATAATGATAGATATATATAGATAGATAATGAACGGGCTGAGATAGATAGATCGATAGATAGAAAGATAGATAGATAGATAGAAACAAGAAAACATTAATGGCAAGAAAAATCTTGTCGGCATTAAATAACCCATTGAGGTTGATATACCGTCAAACAAAACAAACCAAACCAATATATACTGAGATAGATAGACAGACAGACAAATAGATAGATTGATGGCCGACTCATAATTTTCGAGTACAACCTGCTAAGGCACATTTGTGTTTTTTTCAACACCACAGAGGTAACCTGTGGT